CTTTATCATGTGCATAAGTATCTTGAGTCAATTTCGTTGTTTTTCCGAGAAAATAATGTGTCGTCTCAACCGTAACTTCGAAAAGCCCTGGAGAAACCAAGGCAGAACACCGTAGAACACCAGTTACGGCTCTTTCACTTGGTTTGGAACGCTCTGCCTTTGTTTAGCCGCGCGTCAATATGAAGTCACGGTGCCGGTTTGGAGTTATACGGTGTTCTGCCTTTTTTTTACTGCCCACCCCTGGTTTAGGCTATTAATACAAGTCAATATAAAAGCAATATGCTATGTCTAGCATTCTTTTACGTTAATGAGCATAGCAAATAAATTGGTATCCACTCGCATGTTTAACTTTTAGTCTGCTTGTTACGATCAAAAAATAAATAAAATATAATAATAATAATACAGTCACATTACTATATGCGATAGCCCATGATCACTAGATTTTATACAGGTGTTACTATAACGATTTTGTAAATGGTGATCAGCAACCAAATATTGATAATGTGGAAGTTACTGGCTTTTGCCTTCGTGTGACTTCTCACGTTTTGCAGACAATGCAAATGCAGAGTACATTAACTACAAAATAGGGGTAAAAATCAAGTTTGAACTCACAATTTTTTAATGTAGATCATATTCATTACTAAAACATCTAATTGTTACATTCCCAGTGTCCTACCTATAATTAATTTGGCTGGACAAGTAAAAAACTTTAGTAATTTTTCTCAGTTTCACAGTCTAGCGAGTTAAGGTCTTTGTAGGGCAGTATAGAAGTTTAAAACGTCATCAGCATGCGCTAGCGGTAAACAAAAACAGCATGATGATCATACTTTGGCAGCTGTAGTTTTTATGTGTGCTGAAAAAAGTGGAAGCGCTGAAAGAGTAAGAGATAAGAGCTTGAAGTAAGCAGTTTTATTTTTATTGGCTGGTCAGGAAACGTGGATCGTAGCAGCACTACTCGTGCTCGTTGCGGTCGCCGAAGCTCGTTAACTATGAGCAGGTCAGCAACGTGATCCGAACCGGTCTCGAGCTATCACAGACGCTGCCATATTTTAAACCGGTTTGATATTATCACCACGTGATCTCGTAATGTGAGCGACACAATGACAAGGTGGAACTAATCCAGCCAATCACAGTGCAGATGGTATAAACGGAGAAAAGGCGATCAAATTAAACGTACAATGTCTTGGACAATGCTTTGGCAAGAGCATGACTGTTTATTTGATGTATCAAGAAATGGCCTATAATCGCTGTAATTTCTCACGAGAATTTATGTGAGAAAACATATTTTGGCTGATGGTTGGGAACGCCTCTTCACCGAATGTTTTGTAGTGTGTGCACCTCGTCAGCGTTGTGTTGTGTATTATCTGTGCAGCAATGACTAGACGACGACAGATGAGAAGAACCCTCGTGGCGTAGTGTGAGAAACAGCACCCATCATCCGTTTGTTGTGGGCGGAGCCTATCTGCTGGCAGAACATTACCGTTTTAAAGTAGCAGTCTATGGAAGCCATGGAATAAAAGAATAATAAAAAGGTCATTTTGAGTTTATATTTAAACTTTTTTTCTCTTAAAATGTTATAGGTTGAAATAGTATTTCATGCTGTAACTGTAGGGCTAATACAATGTGTAGAGCTATTGTTTAAATCAAATGTATGCTTTAAAAGTAGGGTACACTGTAAAAAATGACCGTGAATTTAACGGTAAAAGACTGTAAAAATGCTACAGTAAAAACCTGTTAAATGGTTAACGGTAAATTCCCCTACTATATACGGTGAAAAACTGTATTGGACATTACATGTATTGGACATTAATTTTACGGTAGTATACCGTTTTTGGAAGTGAAAAATACCGTATAATTTACAGTGAATAACCGTAAATTGACATTCCCAGAATTCCCTGCTTTACATTTTAAATTTGATGTTGTGTGTTACCATGATGGTGTTTAGTGTTTGTGTGAATGACACTGTGCACCTTCTATATATATGTTAATATTTAAAAGCTGCTTGTGATGGGCTTTGGTTCATCATGTGACTTTCTCATCACCACCTGCTTTTGGTGGTTATCAGTGTATTACAAAGGTACAAAACAGATTTCAGTACTTCAATAGGTTGGTATATTAACATTATATCAGTTAATGAAATTACGGTATTTAACTGTAAATTTAAGTTAAAACCGTAAATCCTAAAACGTTGCTACCGTATTTTTTACGGTAAAATTCCGGCAACCACAGCTGCCGGTTTTTTACCGTAAATTTTACGGATTTTTTTTTAGTGTAATCATAGCAGTTTTCATCCATAGTCTGTCCGTTTAAAACGTCTGCGTTTAGCTTCAAATGGCGTCTTTGACGACAGTGTTATATAAAAATGATTTGCTTTCCCATTCTGACATCCAAAGGCACAACGATACATTGTTTCTCTTAATCCATGGATGTGACTCGTTCCCAGTGTTTTTCTGCCAGCACAATGCAGCTGCTAGTGATGTAACGGTGACGTCTACTCCAAACTGATTTGAGGTTAGACAATCTGTGAAGATGCTCCTTATGTGTGTGCTGCAACCAGATTTGATAATCATAACTCCTGAGGCGGCGCAAGCAGGACTGGGTGAATATACTGTATGCGTTAGAAAATGCACATATTTCTCATTACTGTAATGCAAACAACAACAAAGCCATACATGTGTGCAGTTTAATCAAATAATCTAAGAAAATCTTTGTATCTTTTCATTAACGTGATTCACCACTGACTACAATAATTAAATCCTCAGGAATAAACCGTATGCATATAATATCTACAACAAGCTGTGAATGAAAGTGAAACATCTTCAGTGCGATGTGTTTTGAGAATGTAAACTTGGTCTCAGTGTTTATTAGTGAAACAACGCGCTTATAAACACGAACTTCAACAAAGGTCACTCGCAATCTGCGAGAGAAGAGCAGCCCGGACTCATGTTCATGCACTGAGACATTATATGATGATTTCCTCATCTTACTTATAATAAACACATGACGCCAAGCTCTTC